AGTGATGGCACTTGGGTCCCTTTCCTTTTGGTCTTTGTTTTCCAGTCATCATTCCTTCTCTACTTCTCTCAGAGCCTACTCGTTCTTTCAGTTTTCTTTCATCATGCAGCAAACACGCAGTAAGAACTTCCATCCTAGGCACAGCCTCATTCGCTTCAGGGCAGTAACCAATGCATAATATGATTCTGGTAAGCTGGCCAGTAAGCGCAAAACAAGGTCTTCATCAGAAATAGGATCCTCAATCACTGACTGCCTATCAGAAATCTTGGTCATAGCTTTAACATGTTCCTGTACAGAAGCGCCCTCTTTTAGCCTCAAAGAAAAAAGTTTACGCTGCGCTTCCACCTTGTTGGCCCATTTTCTTTTCTGAGACGTACCTTCTAGCTTTTGCGATACCTCACTAGGGTCTTCTGGGTCGCCAATCAAGTACAGTAGAGACGGTTGAACAGTTAGTATGATCGTTGCCAATTCTTTGTCTTTCCTAGCGATAAATTTTGGGAAGTTTTCATCTTTCACACCAGGAGACTGTTCTGTACAGCTTACTATTCCCCATAAGCCTTCTTTCAATGAAGCCATTCGACACTGGACCTTCCATGTAGCATAGTTCAATTCATCTAAAAGGAACTACAGTCATGCCTCTCGATTCTGACGCCATCTTGAAAATAACTCCAGGCCAGGCAGCACGGCAAGGAAAAAAATCCCGGGCTTTCCACGTACACAATCAATCAGTTCTCTGACTCTATTTCAGCTCGGTGACTAGCTCAGTTGCAACGTTCTGGGCCCATAACCTGTTAAGATTCAACTTGAACATCTGTGACAGTCACAAGTTTCTTCAACACAACTATGACTGTACTCATTTTGTAGTTGAGATGTACAATGTTGTATGCTACTGAAAGACAGTGTCTTTTGGTGTACTGCGAATCAAAAGTTTAAATGCAGTTTAAAGATGAGTGTGAGCCTGGTTTTAGCAACTGAACACTTAACAGTGTAAGTAGAGTCATAAAGTGACGTCTGTTTCTCCTTAGGTTCCTAAATTTTCTCAGTCCTCTTCCTAAAAAAGTCCAGAGTTCCCATTGAAAAAATTCCGTAACAAAAAGACAAACATCCACACAAGATTTTTTTCTATGGCGTAAGCGCTCCTTCCTAAATCCGGAGACTTTTATTTGAAAATGTCAATCAATCTTCCCGTGCGTAACGTAATTTCTGGTAAAAATGCACTTCCAGTTCGTTCTTACAAACAATTCTTTTAGAAAAAAGGCACAAGAAATAATCCTTAACATTTTCCCTCTCCTGGATTTACATTTGACTGAAAATCCAACACTTCAATTGATCTCTTTTACAAATATAACGCAAATTGTTCTAATGTTCCAATAACTGTTCAGATGTTAAAATTCAAATGCTCAAATGTCAAATGTTAAAAGGTTCAATCTGTCAGATTTAGACTTAAAATTCTGTGACTAAACAAATCATGAACTGTTCAACTGTTCCTACAAGTGGTCATGATGCAAATCTTTACGACTATAGCTAGTTAGTTCACTGTTCTGTCCGGTCACTTAGTAATCTTCAAATTCCAACAGTGAAATTCTGGAAATTGGTCTTCGTTTCACCCCTCCTTTGGTTCTAACGTCTACGACTCGTACTAGTCCATCTTTACCAGGATGCACTGCCTCTATTCGTCCAGGCTTCCAATCCCGTCTTGGTGCGTCTGGATCAATTACCAACACCACGTCCCCCACTGTTAGATTCTTTGAAGGTTGGAACCACTTTTGCCGGGATCCAATACTTGGCAAATACTCTCTCATGCAACGACTCCATATTCTACAAATCAGTTCCTGTATTCGTCTCCATCGTCTACGCACACTGACTGCCGTCGTATCGACTGTGTCTGGGGCTAGCTCTCCACCCATTTGTCCAATTAAGAAATGGTTTGGGGTCAGCACAGGCTCGTCATTGACATCTCCACTAACTGTAGTCAAAGGCCTCGAATTTAACAAACTTTCGGCTCCAGTAAACAAGGTTTGTAATTCTTCATCATTGACATCAGCTTCGTTCAAAATTGCATAAATTGCCCTCTTGGCTGACTTGATCATTCTTTCGAAGACACCGCCAAAGTATGGCGCTTCTGGTGGGTTAAACTGCCACTCAATTCCTTGGTTGGAAGTAAGCCTTTGAATTTTGTCTTGGTCCATGCTATCCACTAACTCCTTGATTTCTCGTGCTGCTCCGGCGTAATTACTTCCATTATCACTGAGCATCAACTTAGGCCACCCTCGTCTAGCCACCATACGCACATTTAAGCATCCGTCTCCAGGGAAGCAGCCATTTCTAAATGACAACAGTGTGTCTGGAAACACACAAATAAGCAAAGGTAGCGCTTCACTCATGGTCCACCTCGTCCTTGCATCGTGTAGAATGGTCCTGCAAAATCTGTCGCACAATTTGCAAATGGTTTCTGAGTCATCTCTAATCGAATTCTAGGTAATGGTGCCATTTGTTGTCGTGCTGGACAGCCCCTGAATCTTCGGTTACATTCCGCACATTCCTTGATACATTTCTTCACTTGTTGTCGTCCTTGAATCACAAAGTACTGCTCTTGTAAATGGTTTAATGTAAAGTTCACTCCCATCTCGTGACCTTCCCTCTCATGGTGATACTTCACGATTAACTTGGTAACGATGTGATTCTTTGNCATCTCTAATCGAATTCTAGGTAATGGTGCCATTTGTTGTCGTGCTGGACAGCCCCTGAATCTTCGGTTACATTCCGCACATTCCTTGATACATTTCTTCACTTGTTGTCGTCCTTGAATCACAAAGTACTGCTCTTGTAAATGGTTTAATGTAAAGTTCACTCCCATCTCGTGACCTTCCCTCTCATGGTGATACTTCACGATTAACTTGGTAACGATGTGATTCTTTGGAAGGATGATTGGAAACTTCGTCTCTTCTGCCAAATCATCTGAATATAGTAGTCGCGTGTTTGATCGAAGAAGTCCCCCACATAACTTTGGTGTAATCTTTAGTAACGTGCTCTTACTAGGGAGAGGCTTGTTGTTTTCAAGTGCTCTTATCTCGTCAGGAAAGCATTTTTGCTTAGCCGCCCTGATGATTTGCTCTTCTGCTTGATTAAGTTCCCTTGGGTTCAACTCCCCACTTTCTCCGTCGTTTTGGGGCTTTTTGACACTAAGAATCGATTAATCCAACCAGTCACCCGCGCCAAAGAAATTCCGATCTCCAGCTTTCCTTTTGGCTTGGTTCTGTACCATTTTAAATACTCCATTGGGTCTGGTGAGCTCTTTGGTTCGACTGTTTCCACGTAATAGCTCTGTGCATTCATGCTTAGCTCCTTTTCCACGAGCTGTTCTCTTTTCACTGATTTAACTTCTTTGTAAGCTTCTGGGGCTTTTCCAAATTTCCTCTCTGGCCACTCATCTTCTCTACGTTTTAGAAACGGGGGTCCATACCACTAGCAGTCATCCTTAACTAGCTCTTGAACTGAAGCTCTTTGAGTCCCTTGATCCACAGGGTTGAGTTTCGTTGGAACGTACCGCCATTGGTCTGGACTGCTTTCGTCATGAATTTCCCCAACCCGGTGGGATACAAAAGGTTTAAGATTTCGACTCTGTCCTTGGACCCAAAACCGGACATTTACACTGTCCACCCAAAAAGTGGCCTTGTTCCTTGGAAGCTCCAGTGCTGCACATATCTTCAATGTCAGTCGGAGACCAGTCAATGCTCCCATGAGTTCTAACCGCGGAATGCTCATGGCCTTCAATGGCGCCAACCTTGACTTTGCAGCAACTAATCTTGTGCTAACTGTTCCATCTTCATACTCATGGCGAACGTACGATGCTGCGGCATAAACCTTCTCAGACGCGTCGCTGAACGTGTGAATAGTAACATCTTGAAGTTCCTTGTCTTCCTTCAGACATCGTAAAACACAGACCACACCAAGTTCTCCAAGTTCCCAGAACCATCTTTTCCATTCCATTTTAAAATGATCTGGCAATTCTTCATCCCATCCGAGAGCTTCAATCCAAGCTTCCTGCATCAGCATTTTAGCTCGCACTACGAAGGGCGTCAGAAATCCAAGGGGTCATAAATTGAGGCCGTTTTCTTCAGCACGTTCCTCTTTGTTAATACCAATTCGTCTGGGGGTGGAACAACGGAAAATGAGAACTTGTCTTCCTGAACAATCCACACGACTCCCAAGGTCTTCATCACTGGAAATTCTTTCTTTTCGAGGTCCACTTTAGTTGCTCGATCAGCTTCTGGTATGTCCATTATAACTTCAGGCTTCTGAGAGATCCATTTGCGAATGTGAAATCCTGCTTTATCTCCAAGGTCGGTTAACTGCTGTTGCATCTCCTTTGCTGTTTCCACCGTTTCCACTGAAGGCATCAGGTCATCCATATAACAACTGTTCTTCACCGCTTCAGCTGCTAGAGGATACTCTGCTCTGTGATCATCCGCATGCTTCTGCCACACATGCTGTGCACAAAAAGGACGGTAACACCCTCCGAACACATATCTCAAGAATTGCATTTGAAGACCGAGGAACGAGACTAGGTATAAAGAGGTATCTTTGGACACATCACCGGACAGAAGTTCTCATTCCCGTTCGACTACTATGTAAACTGTTACGTCACCCACCAGGGCAACCAGTTCCTTTTGAAATCTGACTAGAATGCTAAACATGTCCGCTTGCAGTTTCGGCCCCGGTAACGCTTCGCTGTTCACACTCTTTCCTTGAAACTTAGCTGACGCATCAAATACAATCCTCGTTTTTGTTGTAGTCCTGTCAGCACGCACAACGGGAAAATGGGGAAGTAACCATTCTTCAGTGGGTGTCGGCTCATCTGGCAGCACTCAGCGGATGTAATTCTTCTCCAAATATTCTTCAATGACTTTCTGACATTTTATTGCAGAAACGCTTACCATCTCTTGAATTCTGTCAAATATTGGAAGACCCATCTTTGAATAGAGTTCAATGATCCAGTGTTAATGTGGTTCTTTATTCTGGAAGCACCACGTCATGCTTGCTTGCAGAAGTCCAAGATTTGTGGATGTCTGATAGTTCTTTTGATGCAGGTTGGTGTCCTTGGCGTGAAATTTAGTTAGGACACTGAATATCGATTCGGGAAGATTTGAATGACCCTTTCCTAACTCAGGATCTATTACCTTTTCTGCATTGTTTGCCCTCTTAGCACATTCTCTCATATGCAAGTCCATGAAGGTCACATTTCCAGGCATGAGCAGAGTGATATGGCTGTCCTTGGCATTTCATGTCTGGTTAAAACCCATTCTCACCTGCCTTGCACTCCTTACAACTACATTTAACCAAAGGACAAAAAGAACAAAATCTCCCTTCCCACTCATGAATGTCCCTGTTATGGTATTTGCCAAGAGTCAGCATAGTTTCTCTGTATTTATCAGGGCTAGTTCCAGGATCAACTAATGCACAGTAATGGTTCCATTTGGCATTTTGTATAAAGCCCTGGCCAATACAACCACAAACAGGTTTCTCCTTTTTAGCAACAACAGTATGCTTTTTGCCAGCACAACAGCACTTCACTGATTTAACTGCAGGAAAGTCTGATTTGTGCAAGGCGATGAACCCTTCACTAAATAAAGACATGGTTTTTAACTCTTCAAGCCTTTTACCATGCGCCCTCCCAACGTGACTCCCACACAACATTACTTTAGACTCTTGTGGATTTGGAAAAGAATACCGAAATCCTTTGGCAGATGAGGAATCTGTGTTGTGCCAATTGGTAGCCACTTTCAGGCCTTCATCCTTAGCCGTAGCCCAAAGGGTCTGACTAAGGTGGCCCTCTGATGACTTGGCAGCACCTTACCATAGTTCCTCATCACAAATTCTGTTTGCATCTCTCATAGACGAATGCCCATAATAAAGAAAGGCACCTGTGATGTAATTTTTTATAACAAAGGTGCAATTTTCACTGAAGTGCCCCCCTATTAGCCAGCACCCATCATAGCATGTCACCGCTCTGGACCAGCAACTGATTTGATCTGATCTGATGAGACCTGTTTCATTTGATGCGTGGCATCATCACACATCTCATCTAAAATATCCTTGATGTATGGGAGTGCTAGCTCTATTACTTCTAAAAAAGGTTTATCTGAAGTTACACCTAATCCCAACCCCTTCACTAAAGTTTTCTGATAAGCAGCATATCCGTGCCCACTAATAAAAAAAGCTAGAGAAAGGGCCAAGGACACCAGGTGTCTTCTAGACTCAAGGGCTAGTTGGCTGCTCCTGTAGTCAATGTCTACTTCCCGACAGCCACAGCATGTGAACTTGACATATATGGCCCCACCAAGTCCTTTCTTGTTGTATGCTGTTAAGACAAGTTTTCCTACATAAAAAGGTTCAAAGGGTACAATAAAATTATAAATTATAATTTCCTGAAATACCGTTGTATGACATTTGCAGACCGCAGACTGCAAACCGCAGACCGCAGACCGCAGACTGCAGACTGTAAATTGTTTTCACCAGTTGTAATTTGCGTACAGGGCACCTAGACTCACAACAGCCTCCTAAGCTAAATTATGTATATGATTAGTATGAGGGCCAGAGTTTATCGATAAAACATCAAAACTTGCTAAAAATGACGTTTTTTACATGTCTTTCTGAGGTATGTATATTAAATGGCAGTTTACGTGAATTTTTAACGTTTTATGAATCTTACGATTAATTCCCATAGAAATCCTTATTTCGAGGAGGCTTTTGTGACTGAGGGCACCCTGTGATATGACTGACACCGAAACACCTTATTCCCAGGCTTCTAAGAAAGTAAAAGAAAACATGGTGATGGTATGGCTCGTTTCTCTTTTTCTCATCGGGAACCCGAGCTATTGTTTTCTGAGGGAAGCATACTAAGTAAGGAAAAGACATTCCTAGTTTTGGGGAAAAAGAAGAAGAAGCAGTACTGCAGGAAGTGAGTAAAAATCTTCACATCGACGTATCGATCGGTAAGAGTGCCTGGTACATTTTGGACTGTAGAAAGCAGCTCAATTGAACGATTTAAAGCTTATTGTTAAGACGTTTTAACTTAATGTTTTGCAACATGAAAGGGTAATGGGGTTGTTTACGGACTGGTAAGACAGGTGTAGATTACTTCACGTCATGGCTTGGCGAGCTGCTGCTAGCACTCTTCTTTAGTTGTACAGGTCAAATTGTCCTGAATTGTGTCGACATACATCGGCGTATCCAAGTCACAGGAATTTTAAGCTGATTTGATGTTCCGAGGATTGATAACATATTAAGGCTCAAACCCGAAAATGACACCCTTGTCAAGGGGAAAATTAAAAACTAAATAGTAACAATGGGTAAAAATGTAACCTGATTTGAGCATAAACCATTCCCTACTAGGCGGCACACAACCTGTGTATGGGAGTACCTCCCAGACTAGGTACAAGCTAACTGGAATCCTTTGAACACAAATTCTTTGTTCAGAGGAGGGAAAAGCTCATAAAGGGAAATCCATCGTCCTCTCTCCTTGTGTTTAAAACATTAAAACTGCACATGTCGTTGTCATGAAATATGTTTGTTAAGTGGTAACACAATGTTAATGTCCTTTCGGTCTTAGATAATGGTGATGTTCGAAGACTGCTTTAAAAAATTCTTGTGGACATCTAGCATCCTTTGGCGATCTTCAGAATTGATGCTTACATGAAGCAATGCTTGGAAATCGACATTTTTTGCCCGGAGACAAACGGGATTTACGTGGTAGTGGGTGGCCTCCAGTTTCTTCGTAATTTTTGTTGTTCCTGTTGACTTGTCATACCAAGAACGATACTCTTTAGTTGACACTACCATGTCAAATGGAGGAGGGGGCACACTCAAATCAGACGGTCAAAGTTTTCCTCCGCAACCATAGCATACTCTAGCCGTCGTCTTGTCTAGCCATTTAAGGTGGTATCGCTGCTCAATGTGATCCGCAACAGCAAGTGAATGAGAACAAAGAGAGGCAGTTTTAAAACCTTCCCACTGACAAATGCAGACTCCGTTTTTCTTTACCGCCACAAAATAAGAAGTTGCCCTGGTATCACCTGCAACAAGAAAACCTTTATGATTTCCTGGAGCTTCCACGATGTTAGTGCGGCTAAGAAGCAAGCATGCAGCTTTGTTGTATGATGGTAAGAAAACTGAGGATAAGCCAGTTTCACAAAAAGGAATGGAGAGTGAATGTGCTGTTAAAGTCTCCTCACGCATTTCCCTCGTTTCTTCAGGGGGACTTTCCCCACCTTCAGGGTCTTGTTGACGTCCACTTTCTTTAAGTCCCAAATCATTTTGCTGGCTGTAAATGCCTCCTCTTGGCACCGTGGTTACGACTGGAAGGGCTTCATGGAACTCCCTTAAATGCTTTTTCCTTTTCTCTTCCGACCAATCATATGTCCAAGAGTGTTCATCAACCTTAAAATGTTAGAACCCTGAGCTATTGCAAAGGGTCTGTTACCAATTATGGCATCTTCGACATAAAGTAAGATAAAGTAAAACGAAATGTGATGATTTCAGAAGTTGAGAAGGGTGGCTTAAATATGCTCGATATTAATTCTATGGTTCGTACCAGACGAGTGATATGTATAAAAAAATATTTGGAAGACTATAAAAGTCTGTGGAAAGCTCTTTTAAATGAGGTTCTTATCCCCACTGGTGGGTAGCTCATATTGCATTGTAATTTTGATACTTCTAAATTAAGAATTTATCTACCAAGTTTCTACAAGCAATGTCTCGATGCGTGGTCAGAAGTAAATGCAAAAACACCCAGCTTGCTACATGAAATTGCAAATGAAGTTATTTGGAATAAAAAGCTTCTCTACATTAATAAGAAATCTGTGTATTGTAGAGATATTGCAGATTTAGGGTTTTTAAAAATTTGCGATTTATTTTCAACTAAAGAAAATCTCAATCCTGAGCAAGGTTTCTTCATTATCGGTATTATTAACTCTATGCCTGCCAGTTGGTGCTTGACAATTAAAAGGGCAACTACTGCACCAATGATTGATCCACTTCCGGGTTCACCTACTATCCTTATAACATTGTTAAACCAAGGTTAAGAACTACGAAGGAGTTTCGTTTAGATGGCCGAAAAGGACCTCTTTTTTGTTTGTTGCGGATGACGATTTCATTTCATAGCAGCAAAGTATTCAAACATTGATATTGATTGGAAAAGTGTTTATTCGCTATCTTTTCGCACAACATTAGAATCTAAACCGTATTGTCTTTACAAACAAAAAACTGTTTCGTTTCGGCTTGGCTGAGTGGCCATCCTGTGCTTTCTGCCAAAGAGAGGTTGAATCCGTAGAGCATTTACTCTTTTCCTGTAGAGTATCATCTAGTTTTTGGAAACATGTCTTGTCCTTGTTGCGCGATAATAACATCTGTGTTGATAACCTTAAAGAAGAGGATGTCATTTTTGGTAAGTTCGATATTGCAGAAGATTTTCTCCTGTTTAACCATATTTTGCTTCTCTGTAAGTTTTATATTTACTCTCGGAAATACCAGAATGGTATACCTTCTCTTCAAGGTTTTATAGCCAGGACAAGGCGTATTTACAACATCGAACTCCATATTGCCAGGAAAAGAGACAAATTAAACAATCATTTTAGAAAGTGTGAAAAGTTAATAAGCGTTTTTACGAATAAGTGATGATATGATTAATTTCAATCATTAGTTTAAAGTGATGTCATTGTAATTTACATACTAAGTAACTCAGGGTCGTAACATGGTATATCCAGGACCCATTGATCCCTATTTTCTTGCCGTTATTTTAATCCCTGAGCCCTGATAAAAAAATTGACCCCATCCATGTTTTACACAAAATTTTAACTTAGACAACTTTGTTTATTTCCAAATATAGAATACAAAACATGCTTAAATGGGCTGATGAGAAAAAAAATTAACTTTAATTTTTAGTGCAAGTTGTAGGTTCTATCAGAGCTTCAAAGATCAATATGAGTCAACTTTTTGTGCATTATTCTATTTAAAACTCTTGAAATACAATGTTTGGTGATACTAGACAAATGATAAAGCCTGATTTCCTTGAACGGGAGCTTTAGTAAGATACAGAATGTAAGTTTTTGTTAATTTATACATTAAAAATAGTCCACTTCCCTTTAAGTATCGTACATCTTGAAAGATCTTGCTGCGGAAACTTGATTTTTTCGGATGCAACGTTCATCAAAAGTATTTTCAATGTTTATTTTCAGAGTTGCTCATACGAGCAGGGCCACCCGGAGGTTTATAAGCCAATCACAAGAAAGCATTGGATTCAAAATTCGAATAAATACATTTTTAGTCAAACAGCAAACACAGGTAGCGCTGGTTGGTCCCCAGTTGAATTAACGGCTCTGTAAGAGCAATATAATATATATAGAACTAAAGTCTTCCTCTATCTTTCCAATTCCTGTCCCGTATGAATATCTGCTTGCCCGGATAACTTGTCCAGTTAATCAATGTCCTATCTTTGTGGGTCACAGATGTTTTATTTCCAAAGAGACTCTTGCAACCAAAAGTTTCATGTCGCTCGTGAAACTGGTCTACAATATTGATATTGATAAAGTGTAATCGTTTGTCTCACGATTCAGTCACTTAATGACATAGATCGCGACGTTTCAACTGCGTACTTCAAGTGTTCATTAGAAAAAGCAACACTTAAAGACCTTGCCTTG